CCTGGGGTAGCTCCCATGGTTGAGACAGAAAAAGAAAAACCCTATTCTTCCCTCTGAGGAGGAGAATTATTTCCAGCATCACGAGAAAACAAAGCAGACCAAGAGGGATTATTTTCCCCAAACAAGATTCTGTTTGAAAACACCCACTTGGAGTCACACATCATTTTTTTCTTCCCTGCTTGTTGCAACTTTGCCAAATCCAAAAATTTCAATACTGAGTTGGCCTCTAAATTCATGAGACCAGCTTAAAATTCCTAGGATTGTTGTTTTATTTTGAAAAATCTCATTCTTTTCGTTCAGCGCTTACTGCTGGAGCCCTAAAAGACCCCATTTTCATGTGTCTCTGACTACAGAAATGCCCTTTTGCTCTCCCCTCTGCCCCCCATTTTCCTGATGCCCCATCGATCGAATGAATTCTGGAGCCAGGCCTCAAAGCAAACATGAAGCATTGGGAGATTTGCAATTGATGGTAGGAGTTGTCAAGAGCTGTTGTCAGCACAGCGTACAAGATGTGTGTGAACCATTCCCAGCAACTGTTCCTTCCCAAGCCAGCTCTTCTGACAAGACAGAAAGCACATGGAGCCGCCTTTCCCGGCACAGATACCCGCTGCAGAAGATGAAACGAGAGCTTACCCTGCTGTCAGTTTGAGCGGCGTTGGAATTGAGCTGGAGAAACACCCCCGCGCACACACACACCTGCTCCCACATACTCTGGCTCAGCCCCAACCGTCCCCGCGCCGCGTTTCACGTTCAAGGCTGAGCGGGTTTTGCTGCCGGGACACATCTCGGTGCCTAGGATCGGGTTGGGACAGCCGGAGCTCGCCGGGGACCCACGGACCCGCTGGGCGGGAGCAGGTGGAGCGGCCGGGGCTGGCTGCCCGTGCCTGGGCTCCGGGAGGACACAGCGGCTTTGTTCGCCTGTGTGCGGTGTGGGAGGCTCCCCCAGCTTGGCACCAGAAGGTTAGTGCTTTTTAAAAGACTACTGTTTTCACCCTGTGTTTTTGGAAAAACAACAGGCGGGCTGGGCAGAGGCACGAGAGCCACCCTGGCTTCTTCTGCCTCGAGTTTCTGCTGCTGTGGGCACCTCCCCAGCTGCTCTCCTGGCCCCCTGACCTCCTCCTTCCCATGCAGCCGCAGCCCAGACCCCTGATCCCGCTGAGCTTGTGTTCCCTCACATCTCCCCCTTGTTTCTTTCCCTGTTCTTCACTTAGTAGGAGAGGTCTCTGCTGTGTCAGCACCACCAAGAGCAGAACAGAAACACACAAAGATGTCTCCCCAAAGCTAAGATTTCTCCAGCCTTGGCCTTGCATGGGCATCTCAGCTTTCGTTGTGGCAAACCAGCCATCCGGCCAAAGCCGATTGCCCTCATCGCTGCAGAGCTGGACCTAAAGATTCGCTGTGAGATGCCGCAGCAACCATGGGGCTAATGATCCAAATAAGAGAGAACCCCCAAACATACTTGAAAAAAAACACCACATGTGCTTTGGGACTTGGTCTGTGGTATCTGAGCTGGGATCAGCAGGATCTCCGGGGGCTTTTAGCTGGGCTCCAACCGAGATGCAACGCACACGTGCCCTTTTCTTAGGAGAGCTAGGTTCAGGGTTTGTCCTCCCTGGCTTTCACTGTTATCAAAGGCCTGCCTAACGAGATTTATTAAATCAAGTAACTTCCATATAATAATGACAGGAGTGCAGATTTCCTCTGCTCAAGCGGGGCTCGCTGCGACTGTGCAGAGCTATTAGAGGTGACTCACAGGGGCAGGTGGACTAGACAGCATCTTGAGAGGGCTGGCCCTGTCCCCAGGATGCAGGGAGCAAGACTGGCTTCATGGTGATGCCAAGAAAGCGGGTGTTTATCTGCATATAATGATGTTTTTGCTGTAACTCGATTAGCATGGAAGGTGTTTTTCCTTTGGAGGAGTTGCAAGATAACGTCTCGTTATGTAAAGGATCCAAACAGCACAAGGCTGTTACTAATTGGCAAAAATATTTAAGTTTCCCACCTGGAGCTGGTTGGGTTTGCTGATGATGTTGTCTGCAGCTCAGCTGCCCGCCGGCATGGAGGCTGGGGAAGGACCCTAGCTCCTGGAGTGGGTGGCTGTCGGTGAGCCTCAGTGCTGGAGGATGCTCTTCCAGGGAGTGAAGGTCAGGAGCAGGCTAACACCCAGAAGGTGTTTCCTAGGTGCGGGCAGGGTGTTTTGTTTGGCTTGTCTCGTAGCTCCCTTCCAATGGCAGGAACAAATATTTCCTTAGTATAATGACTGGAATGATGAAAATTCACTGTCTTGGCCTTAAATGATGAGCAACTTCCTGGTCTGTGTCCCTAGCTTGCCCCACAGAGAAGGGCTGTAATGCTTTTTGATTAAGATAACAGGGAGCCAGACCTGTCCCTGCTCTTGACAAATTTTAATCTCGTGATGCAGTTCCTGGGCTGAAGTGGTTTCACACAGCAGCAGAGGGGGACGCTTCTCAAATCAGGGTACTGTAACTATGTGTCTTTAACTTTAAGCCTTTCTTAACTGCTAATGGTGAAAGAAACAGTCTCCAAGCCCTGCCAAAGAGCCCTGTCCCACCTGGGGCAGGTGGGTGAAGGGTGGGAAGATCTGGCCTTTAACCTTGAGGAGTTTTTCCCGGTGTGCAGTTGCTGTGTACTCTGCTGTAGCTCGACAGCTTTAGCAGTCAGATCCAGGGGTGGGGAACTTGGCTGAAGTGTTTCTCATCTACGTAGACTTTACAGTGGGGTGAGATGTGAATAAAAGCGCTGAGACTTTGGATTTGTGGTGTCAGGCTTTAAATGCAAACAGTTAAACCAGGAGGAGGTTTCATGGGGGCAAAATGAGCCCTGCAGCAGCACCAGGAGCAGCTCTGAGCCAAATGCTTGGACAAATTTTATATCTCCAGCGCTGCAGACGGTGCTCTGATCTCTCACATCACTCCTTAGAGCCACACTGCTAATCCTTTGTATCTGTGCAAACACGAGAGGAGAATATCTGCTTTCTTGCTCCGGCCAGACCTTCCTTCCTTTCCTCCTGCAAAGTGCAAGCTTGAGGACACAGCCCAGACCTTGAGTTTCTGGGTGAACCTGGGGGCACAGACGGAGGCCACTGGCTCAGTTGTGCCAAAGAGGTTTTTGGTGATTTACAGCTTATTGTGCTGAGCGAGTTGGCAGATGCTCTGAACTGGCAGAGAAGGAGGGAGATTGTCACGTGGAACAAAGTGCTGTCTCCTGGCGAAACCAAGGAGAAAGTCTAGTCTGCGGGCTTACCCGCTGAGTGCAATACGGTGCTTAAAAGTCATCCCGCGGAAAAGTAATGGGTAATCTGGTTGAACGGTATTAGCTGTACGATTTTCCAGCAGGTGTTGTTGCTCTAAGTGCTGTCTCTGAATGCTCTCTCCATGAAGGAACTGTCATCAAAGTAGCTATTTAAATAATGTCAAAGGCTCTTTGACCTTGAAGTGTGCGGGGAAGGTATGAGTCACAAAGAAGATAGCACCATTTTCCTTGTTGCTCAACCTTTCACATTCTTCACCCTTTAAATAAAATTGAGTATTAATAAATCCAGCAGACCCTAAAAAACCCCCTTAGAGTCAGGTGACAAGGGGAATGAGGTCCTCAAAGAAGGATGTGCAAAAAAACCTTGGTCATGAAAAGGAAACAGCAGCGATGTTGAACTGATGAGTAGTGATTCAAACAGCAGTCTTGGCCCTTTGAATACCACTGACATTAACGAAGCTCTAACTGAAATCGCTAGTCCTGCATGCCGTCTGTTTTCCCTTGGTCTCTTGGCCACCTCTGTTTACTTTTTGTTGCCACTGAGAGTCACCTTTCTTGCAGCTATGCTGCTATTGTTTAATTACAGTTCCGATTATTCACACTAAATGTCAAGTGTCAAGCAACCCTTAAGTAAATGAGAGCTTTCTAAACACCACCCCAACCATTCATTTCTGCTCTCTGAAGCCTGTAGAACAGTTTCTGCCTCGCCTTACGCGGGTATAAACCCCAGTAACCCTGTTGAAATACACAGAATTTTTCCTATTTCACAGCGCAAGTAGGATCAAACCGAAGCTCCAGGGACAGCAGTTTATCTTCCCAGAGTAAGCACTTGTTTTTCTAATATGATTGCAAATTAATTCCAGAGATAATGTGATACCATGTAATTGAGAGTCCCCTGAGCTAGTATTAGAGTCTATTTTTGCCAAGCCCTCTGCAGACCAGCGGGGATGTTACTGCACCACCAGTAAGGATGATTTAGGGAGTCCTTGCTTGCTTTGAAGGTTTGTGTCCTACGCCCCTGTGCTGCTGAAGGTCTCTCTCTCATCCCAGAAAATCAGTGCAATAATAAATTTTCTTTCCTTCTCTCACCTTCCCGCGTTCCTATATTGCTTGATATTAGATGGGCCAAAGGCTATGTGTGCTGCAGTTGTCCCAAGGTTGATTGGATCTTGGCAGGCTAAAGAGAGAGAAAAGCTGCGGAGACAGTGCTGTAGCCCTTCTCCCATCTGGGATGCTAATTTGAGTATTTCCTCAAACCATCAATTTTTCATGGAATTTGTAAGCAGGTACTTGTCTCTGAGACCACTAACCTACTGTTGGACAGGGCTGAAGCAGGCCAGCAGCTTCCCATTTTATTCATGCCTGCTGCCAAGCTGGGGGTTTAAAAGCTTAGGAGCTACTAGCATAAAGATTTGCCCCTCAGAGTTCCCCTGAAACACTCTTGAGCGAGACAGGGAAGGGGAGAGAAGTCTCCAGGCATCTGCGAAGGCAGTTGGGGGGTGCCTGGGGGTCAGTGCTGTCTGGGGCTCCGGGAGTCTGCAGGATACAGGTGTACGTGCTGATGGAGAGGGGCTGTATGCTGACCAGGGGGTCCAGTCGGTGCCTGGGATAACTCTTCCCAACCTGGCCGTGCTCTCTAGATGCTGTGACAATGCAAACAAAGTGAGGAGGATGCTAGTAAGAGTTGCAGTGTAAACCCTATTTCTGCAAGGCTCAAAGACAGCTGATCAGAAGAAACCTGTTTATTGTGAGGTTTAGGAAAACAATTTTTATGCAAATTGCTTTTTTTTGGCAAGTAATGGGGTTGATACAGAACTTGGAATTACAGTTTTAAGAATACAAACACACAGTATCTTGTTCAACAAACACAAAACAAACTTCTTCCCTGGGGAACATTAAATGAGCAAATGTTTGCTACAATAAATGGGCAACAAACATGGGATGGGGGGGACAAAACAACACAACCCAATTCGGAAGCCAAAACCCCACTGAAGAAGCAGCAGTCACATCTTCAATTTTACGCTCAGGCTGTACTTTCACTTTGCTTTTCCTGTTCGATAGCTGCCAGAAAGACAGAGGAAACAAAAACATCATCAGTAAACCTTATAATGGTTCTGCAGGGTACAGATTTCTATGGTCATTCTTAAAGCCAGGGGATGGTAAGTCCCCACTTGCTTTCTTTGGCCACCCCTGAAATGCCAACCCACGTCTGCATAGCTAGTAGGGTTCATAATGTGCAAACCTCCCCTTGTATTTACAGCTTTAGCATCAGTAGGGATAATAAAACAGGGAAAAAACATGTATTTTATGTCAGGGGACAGTGCATCTCCATGGCTATCAGTACTGACACATCCAAAGCGGTGAGTGATACTCTTCTGAAGGAAACCACTCACAATGTCTGGTCCAAATGCACGAGAAATGCCATTTTCAGATCTGAAGTTGAATGTGAATCACAACCCTCATCTGGCTGCCTGTGCACAGAGAAGACCCTGCACGAGAAAAGCCCAGGGGTGCTTTGCTAAGGAAGATTGCCTGTTAGATGAGGAGGATGACGGGTTTCTCTCGCTCCTTTATTTCCAGAGAAGGTGCCTGGAGCTCTCCTGGCCAGGGCTGACAGCAGGTACCAGTGGGGGGCAGCAGCTCCTCTGTCTGATAACACGCTAAATCCAGAGCCCAGGCACCTTCTGGGGATGCTGCCTGGGATGTGCAAGGGTTTCCCTGTCCGTCTGTGCCTCCGAAGAGGCTGGTAACATGGTAATTACAAACAGTTGATCCTGTTACCTGCAACCAGCAGAAAAACTGGTCTTGCTTTTAGCAGAAGCAAGAGCAATCCCATCAGAAAGGATTTTTCAGACAAAACGCACCATCGGTTGTAACTACTCATATCCTTGGAAGCCCAGCATAGAGTACAAGTCTTAGTATTATCCCCAGTCAGGGGATGAGTTTGAGCCTGTAATCCTACGATTAGTATTCATTTTGCATATGAACTGCAATACAGATTGTGTCCTTGCTCCTCGTAGTTCAAATAGCCTCATAAGCACTTACTTTCTTTAGTGGGCAGTGGATTTTTCTCTCTGGTTTCTGTCTTCTTCAGCTTGGTCTTGTCAAATGTTTCAATTTCTGCAAAATCTGGCTTGTCGGACATGATGGGTACTGACAAAGGAAGGAAAAACACACCCGTGGCTTCATTAGCTAATGCTGTGATATCAGCCATCTGCAAAGTATTTTCTGCTCGAAAGAAAAAATATGAAAATACCATAAAAATGTTTATTCAGAAAAACCCCACGAATCTAAGACCTCAATCTGGGACCTCTCCCTGAGGCTTGGCTCTTTCAGAGCAAAAGAGGAAAGGCATAAATAGAATTTTATCCAGATTTCTCAGACGAAATTTCTAAAAATCATATTTTGCACATGGAAACAAGAACATCTCAGTAAAGAAAAGACAATGCATTAATTGCCAATAATCCCCCGTGCCTCCTGACATAAACTTCTATTTTAAGGAACGCTGCTAACCAGAAAGTCTACAATAAACCCCAAATCCAATATGAACAAAAAGCTTCAATTATGATTTTGTTTTAATTAATAGGATTTGTCTTTAATTCTGAGCACCCTGTCCTGAGTGCGTACATACCCCCGTATCTGGATGAGCTGCTGTGGACACTTGTGCTTAACAATAGAGGACTGGTTCACCCAGCCCTTTGTTTGCTCTCGCACTCAATATCCCAGTCGCAGGCTCAATGGGTTTGATTATACCCTATTATAAGAGAAATCCGCAAAGCACACCGGCATTCAACGCTTCACCTGTCGAAACTTCCCTAATCCAATTCCTGTTTTGAATAGAAATTCAAGTTAAAATCCAGCCTGGGCGTTATTCCCCTGATTTCAGTGGAGTTTCCCATCAAGGCGAGGTTTGGCCCGGAGATGGCTGATATAATTACATTTTTTCCTTCCTGAAGACAATCAGACTTCATCGCTATCTGCACTGAGACAACAGAAGTAAATATTCACAGGAAAAAAAAAAAAAAAAAGAAAAACTACTAAAACCACATGGCATTACCGTCTGGCTGCTCTCTCCTCAGCTGCTTGGTGGCTGTCTGAGGCAGTGTGAGTTGAAAAAGGTCAGGGTAATCCCTCCTCTCCCCTCCTCCCCCCGCCCGAGCCCATGGCTATTAATATTGATTAGTTTAGTGCTGGGATTGCTCAGCGTTTAGGGAAAAGACAGCTTGCAGCTGCAGAAAGTGCACAAGGGAGGGAAATGGGAAAACTGATGTGGAAAACTGCCAAAATACATCTTGATTTTTTTTTCTTCTTTTTTTTCTCCTCGTTCACCAAGACAATAATATTTAAGTTTCCCTTCCTGCCCTTCTTTTACAGTGCTGAGGTTCAGAGTTAATGTGAGGTCTGGAGTTCATTTAAGGGCTGGTGCTGCAGTTTGTGGGGAGATTTTAGGTGTATTCAGCAAAGCGCCTGGGGATTGTCCCCCACCCGCCCAGGCTGGCAGAAGCACATGCTTGGGGCTCAGGAGCACTCCAAGCACAGTCGTGGTACGATCGCCGCAATCTGCGATAAGTACGGCCTGAGCACCATGCTGGTGTCCGGGAATGTGTCCTGAAAGGAAGAACAAGGAATCTTTCATTTGCTCCCATTTTGGTAGCTACAAACCCACTTGCTGGTGCCTCCCTCAGCCCAACGGTGTGTGGCTCTGCAAGCCAAACCGGGCAGCTGCCCACGGCCCACCTTCCTGCCTTCACTTTGCAAGAAGCCGCGTTCTCCCGTCCCGCTTGCGTGGCCGTTCCCTGTATTCCACCCATCCCGATGGCGTGGACCACGCCGGGCTCGCTCGCAGGGAACCCCTTCAGTTGCAGTGAAGGGAGAATGCACTGTAGGCATCGAGTGATGTAATTTCAGAAAAACCTTTAAAAGGGAAGCGGTTGAAGTCACCATCCCTGGAGGTATTCAAAAGGCATGTAGATGTGGCACTTAGGGACACGGTTTAGTGGTGGCCTTGGCAGTGTTAGGTTTACGGTTGGACTCGATGACCTTAAAGGTGTTTTCCAACCTAAATGATTCTATGAAAATGGCTAATAGCCCTTGCATTTATTTGCAAGACGCGTTTTGTATTAGATGAGAAACTGAATGGAGACAAGATTGTGCAGTGTGTGAACACTACCTGTACCAACCTCCTAGAGCCACAGCTCTCGAGGGCTGTGGACATCCCCCTGGCTGTGACATGGCTCCAGCTACGCTTCCTGCTTTGCAGCACAAACCTACTTGGGGAATCCTTTTTCAAGGCCCTCGGGTTTGGGAGGGAAGGGCTGTGCGTACCCCCCTAGATGCTGGCGTGGGTTTCCTCTTGTGTAACTTTGGATGTCTCCATCTGGATTACTTGTCTAGACTCCATGATAGTCAATGGGGAGGTAACTAACTTGGGATAAAATTAATTATGCCCTGGGAGTATCTGGGTTTCTCTGCTCACTATAAAGGAAGCCTGGACAACTTGCTCAGAGAGACAGAGATGTCTCGCAGCTGATTGAGAGCCCTGGGAAGGTGCTGTGGATCTTTCTGTTGGCATACTAGGCTTATGTAGGGTGGGTTTGAGTCTGGTATGTGTGCATGGAGAAAATGGTTTTAATGTGTTTAAATGTGTTTTAAGGACCTCTTCTTTCGGTGTGTGTTTAAATTAAAATAATGAACACAAACGCAGAAAAATTTATTATTTTCACTCATCAGCATTCATAAATAGTGGTTCCTTTCCACGCAGTGGTTCTTTCCTTTATCCATCCCGTTTTCCGTATCTTCAGAGAGTGCAGGGGTTGCTGCATGCCCTGGTAAACAGCAGTCTAAGAGCAGGTTTTCTCTGTGGCCATGTCTGCAGTATTTGAAGCAAAGGAGAATAGAGTACCGTAGCGGTGGAAAAACCTGCATGACGCTGCTCAGCTGGAGCTCCAAAGGGATGGTCTGGGTCCCGCTGAGCTCAGCCCTGTGCCAACCTGGCTGTGCTGCTTCGGGACCTAAAATTGTCCTGGCACTAACGTAGCTACATTTTTGTTACGCTAAAAGCCCAGTTGACTTGTGCAGACTGGCTTGCTTACCTCTGCACTGACTGTCCATGCAAAATCAGCGTGTGTGCATACCAGTCATATTTAGCATCAGGACTCGGTTCCCTTGCTTCCATCCCCTTACTCCAACCAATTGTCAAAAATAGAAAGCTGTTTTCTTGACTGAAAACCCCTGGGAATAAGCAGGAAGGCAGCCACTGGGTGAATATTCAGTGTAAGCCATAGTTGAGATTTGGCACTGAAAAGTCTTAGCGTCTGTTTAAAGAGAGAGCATTAACCTCTTCTTGTTAGGCTGGACACCAGATTGAGAAGATCAGAAGATGAGAAAAGACTTTAAAACGCAATCTGAATGATTCACGAATTCAGGCAGTTCATGAGTTTCAGTTTTTTAAATATTTGTCCATTTTTACAAGTAACAGAATTCTTATGTGACAAGAGATTACAAGGCAAAAAACTCCTAAACTTTTAGACTGGTGCAAATTCTCTCAGATGTAGAGAGCAAGCAAAGTGTTCAGGACAGTGAAGGAGAAGAATCTCACTTGTGGTTTTCCGTGTACAGTCACGGGCTTGACCCTAGCATCCACAGCTGAGCTCAGGCTTCCCTAAACATGCTAAGACAGGGTGGGCACGCTTGTTTTTTCACCACCACCATTTTACTTGCCCTTTACTTGCCTTTACTTATATTGGCAGACCTAGTATTAAAAACAGTTTGGGGTGAGTTGTCTGGGTTTTTAGGCTGAAGATGACCAAGCTTTTAACTGATACTGGGTTGGGTTTCTGAGGAAGGTGCAACAGTGTTAGTCCACGTAACGTAATGATGAGAAATTACACGTTCTCACTCTCAGTTGAAATCAGTAGATACTCATCTCCATAACGAACATCTTGACCATTGCACAAAGTGCCTGTCAAGTTTCTGTGGCTTGTAAGTACGGTACTGTGGTCAGACACAGCTCGTGTCGGATTCAAGCCTCATGTTTACATACCGTGCGCAGGACAGACAGCCATATGCAGTTTTCATATGGAAAGTCTGGAGTTTGGCCTGAGGGCATTGCACAATGCGTTGAGGCTGGTCATGGGAGAGAAAGATGGGTAGGTAATATTTTACTCAGATACCTTTAACTTTCACTGGGAACTGAGATATTCTTGCTCTATGAGCAGCAAAGCAGTTATTTGACAGGTTTTTAATGGCGGGATGTCAGTCACCACCTTCCGTAAGGGGAACATGGCAGTTACCTGGCCTTGGGATGACTGTGGTAATAATGAACCACAACGGTCTTTGAGGTGCACAGAGGCAGCCGAATGATCCAGCATACAGAAGTGAGAAAAATCAGCAAGCCAGCAGAGCAAGCAAACTATAGGATCTTTACAGGTCCCATACACATAAAGCACGTAAAGCCACATTGGTATGGCCGTGTCTGAAAAGCTGCCTCAGATACAAGGGAAAATGCATTTTATTTCAATCTGCTGCCAAAGGATGAAGGGCTGAGTCAAACCTGCCGGGACTGACACCTCTGATACCAGTGAGTCACCCGCCACTGACAGCATTAAACTGTGCCTGGCAGCGCAAGCCACCGAGTGTCTGTCAGACACCCACAGAGAAACAGGTGAAAACAAATACTTGCTACCAGGATGCAGTAATAGGTGAGAGGAAATGTTTAAAGGGAGCTCAAGTGCAAAGAAAAATTTGGAGGGGAGTCTGAAGAGCGAGGCTGGGAGGTTTGAAGCCTGCTGCCACTCAGCTTTTTCCCTTGGCTGTTGTCACTTGGAAGCAGCGAGCCCAGCCTGTGCGGGCTGGGGCTGCAGGGGCTTTGTTATATATATATATGTGTGTGTGTGTATATATATATATAAAAAGGCTATAGCGTTTCACGGGCTGGGGGGATGCTGTGCTCACGTTTGGCACAAGAGGTGCTCTGGAAATGGCAAGTTTCATGGAGACTAGGTAGGCAACTGCAAGAAGAAGGGGTTTCTTTCTCCTTGGTGCAACAGTGGGAATCGGATGGCATCTACTTCTATGCGGAGCTGAGGGACAAAGCACCCTAACGCGAGCAGCCGGTTAGAGGAACAGACGCTCGAGCAGATCAGTGTCTGTAGCTGAGCCAATAAGCTGACACAACTGATTTTATAATCACATTAGTGCTGTCTTGAAATAACACACCCACTCAAATATAACAGTGATTTCATTTTCAAAATGTTGTGGTATTTTTGGTGCTAAAGGTAGGGGATTAATTTTTCAAGGTCAAAAGCTGGGCTGCAATCTGCAAGCACCCTAATTCCTTTAGGTCCCTATGAGCATTAAGCACCTTCCAGAAAGGTAGCAGGATTGGGCATGTTATAAGCTATCCTTAGAAGGTTTCCCGTCCTTAGGGGAACAGAAAAAAAAGACTACGGCTTCACTGAAAGGGTTTTCTTAGTTCTCTTTGTGCCTTTTGTTCCATCTTGCTGCCAAAAAAAATATCCATGTTTGGGAACGGAGACAGGTTCCCAGGCTAAGAGACAATGAATCCTGGGGGTGTAAGGAAGGCAATGATCTCTCTTTGGCAGGGTGTCTGCTGTAATGCTGGACTGCTAGTGTGCAAATACTCGATGCTTATCTTCTACTGTATGTTTTATCATTACCTAAGGTGTTTCGTTTTCCTTATTGAGACCATTGAGCCCAAGGGTAGGTGCGTACAGAGGATGAGGGGAAAGGAGAGGCTAGTTGTAGACAGTCCTTCTGCTTGGGCTATTTTTTCCAACCCCATGTTTTCCAAATAGCTCTGGAGTTTAGACAGTCTATACTAGGAGTCCCATTGCAGCAAAGAGCAAAAAGAGAAAACATAAGCTAGTGGGAGTGGAAATTTCCTCTCTTCCTCTTTTTTGGTCTTATAAAACTCAGTATGGGGGTGAATTTTTAAAAGTTTAACCAGATGGAGATTCTTGCAACAGAACTCTCTCAAGAACTGACCCAAAAGTGTGTCTGCCAGCATAAAGTACTTGGCTTCGGCCTGGCCTTTTCTAGCAAAATGTGGTGACATGTGCTTTATGAAAGGAAAAAAAAATTAA